CAAAAATATTTAAAAATTAATTTTATAATTCTAACTAAAATTGACTTATTACAAATTTGAACATTCTTTTTCTGAATGACAAGATAAATTACATTTTTTGTTTAACTTTTTACATGGACAATGTAAAGTATCACAAGTTGTTTTGGGATATTTACAAGTTATTTCAAAATTATTTTTAACAACTTACAAATGTATTTGTGATTCATTTTGTATAGTAGATTGTAATATTGCAGCTTCTCTAAAAGAAATTAATTTTCTTGGTATTTTTTCTAATTCAGAAATATATGTATTTAATATTTTTAAATGTTTAACTGAATAAGTAATATTTAATATGCCAAATTGACATCCTAATTGATACTTATCATTTTCATTAGAATTAAGTATTTTACAAGGTAAATGAGTTCTATCAGTTTTTTCTTTATCTTCTTTTGGAATCTTTATTTTTACTAATTTTCCAATATTATATTTATTAATTTTAGAAGATTGTGTCATTATTTCTTTCATACTAACGGTATAAAGTTTGAGACTTCCTTCAGAATTTTTTCGTACATAATCATGTGAGGAAAATTTTGTATTTAAAGGTCCTGCATAATTTTCCTAATAATAATAAATATTATAGTCTTATTTTAATTATTTAATTAAGAAATTATATATATAAATTAAATAAATTACCTCTAATTGTTCATCTAATTGTAATTCAATTTCTTTTTCCGCTTTTTTATTATTTTTATCAGAATAAAGATTTAACCAATTGGTTAGTTTATACTCCCAAACATTTAATTCTTCAATTGGATACATTTGAGGATTTTTTCTTAATAAATTAATATCTTTTAAAGCTGAAAGAATTTCTTTTTTCATAATTAAAGCTTTTAGGTTTAAAGTATATCCAAATAATCCTAAATATAATTCATTAATTTCTTCCCAAAATATAGCATTTACTTGTTCTTTACGGTAAAAATATCAAAATCTTTACTCATAGTAATAAAATTTTTAATAATTCTAGGTTTTGGTTGTATCTAAAATTTATTACAATATAAATTATTTTTAAATTTTAATTAAAATTTGTTATAATTTACTTACCTTTTTATTTTTAATTATAATTGTATCATCATCACTATTTATTAATTTATCATTTTCTTCTATTAAATTAATATCAGTTACTTTTTCTTTTCC